ATTATTAGTATTATATTAATATTGTTTATTTTTTAAATACTTTTTCTGATATGAATGGACCTGATCTCAATGGATCTGATCTGATTTGAATGAATGTGATATTATATGAATTGATATGTTACAGACCAAACGGAAGAACTCAACCCAAAAGACTAGTCTGATAGGTGAGGGAACCCATTTGGCATATAAACCCCATATCAATTGCCCATACAACCGATGTGGGACAAGTCCCATACCTTGCAATGGTTTCAGTCCATAAGATTTGCCACTCCTTAAGGACCAACGTCCTCGTTGGTCACGGCTGGCTTTCTCCAGGCCACCACTCCGCGGGCCACCCATGTAATTTAAAAACGTGGTCCAAATATGCTTGTGCCACTTCTAGGGCAAGTGGTGGCCTGGAGAAAGCCAGCCGTGACCAACGAGGACGATGGTCCTTAAAGAGGGGCGAATGTTATGAACTGAAACCATTGCAAGGTATGGGACTTGTCCCACATCGGTTGTATGGGCAATTGATGTGGGGTTTATAGGCCAAATGGGTTTCCTCACCTATCAGACTAGTCTTTGGGTTGAGTTCTTCCATTTGGTCTGTAACAGTGGTATCAGAGCCAACCTCGGAGTGGTGGCCCACGGAGTGGTGGCCTGGAGAAAGCCAGCCGTGACCAACGTGGTCGTGACCAACGAGGACGTTGGTCCTTAAGGAGGGGCGAATGTTATGGACTGAATCCATTGCAAGGTATGGGACTTGTCCCACATCGGTTGTATGGGCAATTGATGTGGGGTTTATAGGCCAAATGGGTTCCCTCACCTATCAGACTAGTCTTTTGGGTTGAGTTCTTCCATTTGGCCTGTAACATGATATGGATGAATCCGATCTAATCTGAACGACTCTGATCTGATTTGAACTGATGCGAATGAATCTGTCTGATCTGAATCTGATAAGAATAAGTAGCAAGAATAAGTTGTGAAGATGTCGTAATATCGAGTTATTAAGCTGGTGGTTTTCCTCTTAGTTAATGTAATATGCCAATCTGTTAGAACTCTATATGTTTAAAAAGGCTTAGCCATGTTTATGTATGTATGGCCTTCTTTTGCCATTTTAAGTAGGTGTTTAGTACATCTCCCTGCTTTTTTCTTTGCATGAGAAATGGGTTTCAAGTAGGGGAGTTAATATAATCCCACCACCAAGATTTCCATGACATTGCCCGACAATGTCATGGGATGACCCGGGGACGCTCCGGTGCCCCGTTCGTAAAATTGACAGTTCCTACCCCTAACTCCCCGGTAAACCCCCCACCCTGCCCTGACCCAAACACACCCCCACCCCCTCCAATTGCATCCCACAAGTTGATTTCGGGTCGGGGTGGGGTGGGGGTTTTACCGGAGAGTTAGGGGGTAGGAACCGTCAATTTTAAGAACGGAGCACCGGAGCGCCCTTCGGGTCATCCAATGACATTACCGGGCAATGTCATGGAAACGTTGCCTTAATCCCACTCCATCTAAATACCAAATCCATCAATTCCTAACATTATGTTTGATTCAAGGAATTTGAGAGAGAAAGGACAAGAAAATGAGAAGAAACGTATTTTTCTTGTTTGGTTAGATAGGAAAAGAAAACCAAAGTGGAAGTTGATGGTGTAAATTATTTGACCGATCAAACTATACTAGACCGGGTCTAGAATAGTTTGCTTGATTTGGCAAAGTAAGAAAGGTAAAAACACGCAGATTGACCGGTAGGACTTTAGGTGGAACACCTGTAGCCCAATTTATATTATAACGGAGAATGCACGGGTGCTTTTACAAGGGAGTTTAGAGAGAATGAATTCGGATCCCTCTTTCTGAGGTTTACATGAGTATTTATACTAGGCTAAGGGGACAGGACCACGTGCGCCCACGTGGGGGCATGCTGCTGATGTGGTGCGAGGTGACTGGTTTCGTCCTCGAGCTGCCTTGTCGCCTTGTGAGGGGGGTCATTCCCTTTGTCGAGTAGCGTCTTGGATGGATTCTTCAGCATCTCCAGTTGTCCTCTACTGACACGGGTCGCTACACGCCAAGCCCTCGCAGATCCTCTTCTGCCGACACTTTCCAACCCCAGAAACTACACCGGGTAATCTCCGAGGGATGAATTTATCGAAGTCTGGAATAAATAGGATGACAACGTAGTTTGACCGGTATACTTTTTTGTGAAGTATACCGGTCATATTTTGGCCGATGATACATCGTTTTGCTGACGATTTAAGTCTCCCTTCCAAAACTCTCGAGATTGACCGGTCAACGATCTGGCCTTCTCCTTTGACCGGTCGTGGGTGGAATACATCCATCAGAAGTAAAAAAATGAGAAGGCAAATGTACCAAGAGGAGGAAAAATTAATTTTCTTACATTTTGATGAAAAAAAATGAGAGAAAATTATTATTTTTTCTTTCAAATTTCTTGAACCAAACATCGTGTCAAGGAAAAGTTGACATTAATAATCTAGCATTTGGGCGATCAAACAAGAACAAACTCACGAGTCACAAGGTATTTTCGGAACACAAAAATTTCATGTAGTGTGGTTCACAAAAACGAACTTGCATCCAACTCTATTACTTTGGTTCTGTTCTTTTCGGGTAGTAAAGTAAATTTTAAATTTTTTCTAACTTCCTCCAGCTTGTTCTAACTTATTCCAGTTTGCTCTAACTTTTTCCAGTTTTTTTTAAAATATTTTTATTTTTTTTCAATATTCAACTTTAGAGTTCCAATCAAAAAAATTAGATCTTTATTGTTACACTTTGTTAAATACGATCAGAAATGGACACAACTTATCTCAACTACAACTTTTGATAATTTTAGTTATTTGAATGGCATGGAAAAACTTGCGGAACGGGCCAATAAACTTTACTTTTATTTAATTAATAATCAAAATTTATTAATTTTGAATATAAAAAGTTAATACTAAACAAATATTCAAAAACAAAGATTATATTAAGTTTTAATAGACATAAACGTAGAAATATCTTTGAACTTATAGTGATCGATTTGATGGATTAGAATTAAATATAAATGCATCTTATTCTAACTTTTTACCTATAAAATTACTCGAGTATTTCTAAAAATCAAAATACTACATAGTTTGAAAGCGAAGTTGTAACACTCCAACCTGCGTGACCCAAATACAAGGATCAGCGGATCGGATTGCTACTAAATTGGCATACAAACACAATAATTTCCAAAACAATTTAAAAATATTTCATTCAAAACAATATTTAAACATCCATCAGAGTTAGCAAAACGGTGCAGAAGCCTTTAAGTACTTAATCAAAATACAACTTTGGGTTCTTGCCCTTAAAAACATAATTAATTCAAATGCAATAATAAAACTAAATAACTCCTCCAGCATCCATCCTCCTCTCTGCCCTCACTGCCTCCAGGATAGTTCCTTATTCATCATTCATGTTACCTATGTGTAGCAAATAGGAAAAAGGGCTACACGCTCACCATTGAAGTTAAGTGAGAACTATCTAACGTTTCGACTACGCACATAGACGGAATTATGACCCACTAGCTCATAATTCCACTTAAGCTAAGTGGAATTATGACCCACTTGCTCATAATTCCATACAATATCATGCACACAGGTACAACATCAATAACATCATTAGTATCATATAAATCATCAGTTAAGCATAATTACCGTAATTAACAAACATACCTCATAATCCCCTTCTTTATCTCTAGGCTCATAACCTATCCTAGACTAAGGCCAACTACTTTATTCTAGAGTCCTGATTCAACCACGTCCATGGAAGAACCCGCTCGACCCGACGTCATCCAATGTCGCCTGGGTGGGACCACCTACTCACATCCATGAGCAGATCTACGACCCCCGTGCGCACGCTCTACCCAACTGGTCATGCGTGCACGCCGGCTTATCACATGACCAGTTATTCCTAACTGTATCTTTATTCTGTTTTCTTGGTCTACCTATGACTCATCTAGGTAGCCTATCCGTATTCGAGTTCATAATTTCATATTTCAAAATTCATATGAGATTACAACAAGTTAAAAAGGCAATCATATTCATCAATTAGCGGCCTAGTCTCAGGTGTAAACACCCTCCACTTACCGTCATGCAACATACAAGATCATGGGATAAATTCGGGATTCGAATCAGAACAAACAAACGACGAATCGCGCGACTGGGGGTGGACACGGTACCCTGGTACCGCCGGGCGGTACCTAGGTACTGACGGTCCGGTACCCCCGACCGTCTAACTAAGTTACCGACAGAGGAGAACTGGGTTGGGGCGGTATCTGGGTCTGACACGGTACCTTGGTACCATCGGTCCGGCACCTTGGTACCGTCTGGCCGGTACCCCCTTACCGTACGAGCGCAGGTACCGACAGAGGCAATTTAACGGAGAGGTCTGTGGCGGTAGCAGGGTACCGTGAGGCGGTACCTAGCTACCGTCGGGCGTCAGAAAGCTACAGAAAGAGCGTAATTCAATTCTACTCAACACCATTCAATTCAGATAACGTTTCTAAAGGTTTTTATCATGCAAGCCACATAATTTTCAAGGTTAGAACACGTACCTAGCCTTCCTTGTTCAACCAACTCCAACATTGTCATATTATATCCATAAATCATAATACAACTATAACAAATAAACCACATAATCAATCATACGAAACTACGAACGTGAATTTCAAATCTATATACGAAATCTAGCGTTAGATGTGCAAGTTCTGACCTTGATTACTTAGACTAAATTAAACAAAACTGCAAGTGGCGAATAACTTCCGGCGAACATGCGGCGAAGTAGCAGCGCCAAATCACAGCGGCGGTCTCCTTCTTGCGTCCGGCCCCCTTCACGTTCTTTTCTTTTCTTTTTCCGTGCGTGTGTGTAGGTTAGGGCGCATAAAATTTACTTTATATTGTGTAATAGAGTTGTACTGGCCCGTGGGCCTTCTCTGGCCCTACGAATCTCTTCCCTATACAAGGGAGCTATTATCAAAAAGAGAAAAATCCTATTTTTTACCGGCTGCCTCCTTCTCATGTTTTTTTTCTTCCGCCGTTCTCCACTGTGCATCGTAGAGGAAAAGAACGCACATCGCCGTTCTCCTCTACGATTCCCCATCGTGAATCAAATCGGAAGAACCAGCAATCGCAGGACCAAATCGGAAGGACTAGGCGCACGATCACAGTCTATCTTTCCGCCGCTTAGGCGTAGACTACCGCGAGGGCCAAATCGGAAGAACCAGCATCAGAAATCTCCTTCAATTGAAGCTTTCTTCCCATTTCACTGAAATCTCAGTCGATCGCACAGCAACGGCGGCCTCCTTCCCCTTGCACCGAAATCTCGAACCTACGGTCCAGGTTTTCCCCAATTTAAGTTTTGCAATTGAATTAAGATGCATATGTGCACTCTTGAATTTGCTATTTTTGCGCTCTCTATGTGATATATATGATGTTTTTTAATCTATGTTTCCGATTGTTTGTCATATATACTGATCTTGAATTTTTTTATACGCATGAACCTTGATTTTGAAAAAAATGGTTTCTTTTCTCGTAGTTGTTAATCGCTAGTTTTAGATTCATGTTTACTGTGTCTGTGATTTGTAGTTTTTCCCAATTCTGCTACTCAATTCTTGAAATGAAATGTCATGTTCGGATGCTTAAATATTAAAAGCACCGTATTAAAATTGTAGTATTTGGAAGTCCCCATGGGCAGTAGATCATCAAAGAAATTCTGGAAAACTTTATGCACAACATCTGTTATAGTTTTGCTTGACCTTTTTTTTGGGATTTTATGTGCATTGTAACTTGCATTTTTTTAAATCTGGCAAATGGTGTAGTTTTTTTTTTCAATCTGCATTTTTACTCTAATGCTGTAGTTTTTCAATATGCATTTTCAGCTTGCATTTCTTTTTTTTTTCAATCTGCATTTTTTACTGTAATGCTGTAGTTTTTTCAATCTGCATTTTTTCTGTAATGGTGTAAATCATTTTTTTTCAACTCACAAAAAGAAAAATTACTTCCATTGTTGAAACTTCTTATACTTAATTTTTTTTTATGAAAAACTATACTACTGCGCTCGTCCAACAAAAAAAGGTAAAATACTGTTTAGGGAATGTCTTCAAGTGAAGACACCAAACAAATTCCAAATTGAGTTTTATGACTTTAGCTTGACTATATATGTGAATGCATGTGATAATCATACTATGATAGTCATATTTGGTTCACGGCTAATGACTTTACGGGAAATTTTTTTTAAAAGTGGATTTGGCACAAATTGAAAATATATACTGTTTTTTATGTGATTACCCGAAGGGTATTTATGTGTTTTCCATAATTGAATGACATATCTATTATTTCTGTGCATGAAAATATTTTACCCTTGAAAAAAAATACAACAAAACACAAAGGAGAGAGCATGAATTATATGAATAAAACTCTCATTTCAAGATATCAATTTACTTATAATTTTTAATTGCATTTTATCTAGAAATGACTGATCCCACTAGACCTGAATTTGACATCTTGGACTCAGAAGGACTTGAGTACCACCGTTGGGTTTCTGACGTAGAAATGGCTTTCGTGGCTAAAGACTTCTCTTCCACACTTAAAGACCCTAGTGAATTGAAAGATGCACCATCTGAAAAAGTGAAAGCAAATGCTTTAATGTTCCTAAGGCGACACATTGACCCAAGTTTACGTTGGGAATATCTTCAGTTGAAAACCCCCAAAGAACTGTGGGATGCCCTTAAGGGACGTTTGGGAACATTCATGATACTCTGCTTCTAGAACTGAATGCGCAATGGAATGAAATCCGTTTGCTAGACTATAAACGGACAAATGACTTTGTCAAAGATATGTTGCGTCTTAAGGCACGTCTCATCTTTTGTGGTAAGCCAATCACCGAAGATGACACGATTCAAAAGACTCTTGACACATTTCCTACCTCATCCATGATAGTGAACCAGTACAGGATGGAGTATGAAAACAAAAGAATTACCACATTCTACAAGTTGATGAATATGTTGCAATCAGCAGAAAAGCATAATGAAGTCCTTGTGAATAACAATGCTCGGCCTGTCGGGACAAAGAAAATTCCTGAAGCCAAATATGGAAAAATAAAACATGGAAGGCATCCTAATGAAAAGGGACCTAGACGTGCTAATCCTTACCCACGCGGAAATAACTCTTATCGTGGGAAGGGTCGTGGCGGTCATGGTAGAGGTCGTGGAGTATCTTCCAATGTTTGGCGAAGAGAGTCAAATGATGGACCGAGTGGCCACACAAACAAGAAGTCAAATGCATCGAAGCCTCCTGTGATAAAGAATGAGCCATGTTACCGATGTGGAGTTAGCGGACACTGGTACAAGCATTGCCGCGCTATTAACAAAGTTGCAGTCTGCTACAAGAAATATCTCCAATCTAGAGAGCATGAATCTCAATATTTGGACGAAGAAGGCAATGACACATATGAGGTAACAATATTCATGAACATAGCGATCGAAGTAAGGATCGGTACTCTTTTCTTTGTTCAAGATTTTTATTCACAGGGTTTTGACACTTGACGAGATTTTGACAAGAGATCAAGATTCTGCAATTCTACCTACAACTCAGCACAAGGGGGAGTGTTGAAGGATTTTTGTAAATTAGTGTGCTGTTGTGTAGATAGAATTTACTTTATATTGTGTAATAGAGTTGTATTGGCCCGTGGGCCTTCTTTTGTAAAACCCTACGAAGCTCTTCCCTATATAAGAGAGCTATTATCAATAAAGAATATACATCTCCCACAACAGAGAAAGATTTTATGACTATTGATAAAATAATTGGACGTGAGGTCTGTTTTTTTTCTTTTTCGAACGAGGGGCATAAACCCTATAGCAGAATTTTGAACTGCCGGTCGCGCCTCCCTTCGCCGCCGCACCGTCGGACTCTCCTCTTCACTGTGACACTGTAAGTCGCCACCTCCCACCGCCGCGCACGTCAGGCCTCACCGCTCCGATACGCTCGCAGTCGCCTATAATTCGGCTGTCTTCGTTTCTCCGTTTCCCATGTAGCTCCCGTATTCCAATTTTTAGCTCTTTCTTCTTAATGTTATATTTGGTAAGGAATGATGTTGTCTGTTACTATATATGCTTAGGTTATTCCGATCCTTACTTCGATCGCTATGTTCATGTATATTGTTACCTCATTAAAAACCTTACCAAGTAACAAAACCCAATGGGAAAAAATAAACCTTGGTTTAAGGAAAAGAGTGTAACATAAAATAAAAGCTAGACCTTTAAATATTCAAATCTAGGGGTGAGCATGTACCATATCGTATCGAACCGATTTTTCGGATTACCCGTACCAAATCCGAAAATTCCAGGATTACCCGTACCAAATTTTACCGAACTGAAAAATCTCGAAGAAATCCCCAACCGTACCGAACCGATTTTTTGGGCTGGTATTTGGGAATGGGAACGGGCTTTGTCCCGAACCGAACTACTGTAGCAACCAATATATATATATATATATATATATATATATATATATATATATATATATATATATATATATATATAT